CCCCCCCCCAACCCCCTTCTTTGATACTACATTTTGTTTTCGTTATGTTTTTTTTAAGTCTCAACTCTACCCTGGTCGCAGCCCTGTCCGTGTGCTGGATCAGCTGTTGTGTGTCGATTTGTTGAACTAACTGTACGCTAGTGTGCCCCGTGTCTGTGCTCCGCTCTGTGTGTCTTCCTGCACCCAGGGAATAAAGTTTGTGTGTGAAGCGTCTGCCCCGCGCCTCCTCTTGTGTACACTGCTGTGAAGCAGTCTGCATCAGCGCCATTATTTACACAGAGAGCATATGGAACCAGAGGCAGTTCTGCTAGTGGGGTTTCTGTACACCTACCCCCCACCCACACCCCTCCTCCTCCTCCTCCTCCTCCCCAGGACCGTGCTCTGTGGATGGGGCTGTGGCTGTCCAACCCAGAGCTGGAGGGGCCCCGTTCTGTGAAGGTACACCCCTGGATGCAGTATTTTTCATCTTGATCTTTTATTGCAGTCCTCCAGAGGGAAGAAAGTTACATCAGACAGCACCCCAGAGAGAGACTCCCCCCCCCCAGCGCAGGAATTTCAGCCCCCCCAGGAATTGAGCTCAGGGCCCCCAGCTCTGTCTCGGTGGAGTTTGCACGTTCCGCCCGTGTTCGAGTGGCTTTTCTCGAGGTGTGCCGTGTTCCTCCCCCAGGCCGAAGCCCTGCTGCGTGGCGAGTGGGCTTCGCCACAGCCCTGTACTGGATGAAGCGGTAAGAAACCGGACAGCGGCGTGGACACACTCCCGTGTTCTCAAGGCCAGGGAAACAGGGTGGGGGCAGGAATGTCCCCCCGTTCCCTTCTCCGGGCCCGTGACCTCTGACCCCGCGCTCAGCTAGCGGGGGCGGACGCGGCTCATCTCGGGCGAGGCGTGCACCCTCTCGTGGGCGTTGAGCTGGTCCTTGCGGCGGAAGGCCTTGGGGCAGACGGCGCAGTGGTAGGGCTTGGCGCCGGTGTGGGCCAGCCGGTGGCGCCGCAGCTGCTCGGCGAAGGTGAAGGCCAGGCCGCAGTCGGCGCAGCGGTGGGGCCGCTCGCCCGTGTGCAGCCGCAGGTGGATCTTCAGGTTGCCCGCCATGCTGAAGCGCCGGCCACACTGCGGGCAGGGGAAGCGCTGGTCCCGGTGCAGCAGCAGGTGCGTCTTGAAGCCCCGCGCGGCGCCGAAGCTCTTGCCGCACTCCCCGCAGGTGTACGGCCCCGGGGCGGCGGCAGCGTCTGCGCACACCCCCGCCTCCTCCCTGCAGCCCCTCTGCCTCGGCCCCGGGAGCGCCGGGGGGGCGCCGCTCTCCGCAGGCCCTTCCCACTCTGCAACAGGAGCAGAGAAAGAGCGGACAGAGCGGGATTAGTTCTCTATCCAGTACAGGGTCACAGGGCAGCAGGAGTATCCCAGCAAGCACCGGGCATAAGGCAGGGTACAGTCTGGACAGGACACCAGTCCATCACAGGACACACAC